CTCGCTCATGTTATGACTGGGAGTCATTGGGGGCGATCTCGGCACACTGCAACTCTGCCTCCTGTATTCAAGTGATTCTCCTGCCTCAGCCTCCCGACTAGCTGGGATTACAGGCGCATGCCACCACACCGACTGAATTTTATGTTTTTAATAGAGCGGGGGTCACCATGTGGCTGGCCAGGATGGTCTCGGCCTCTGACCTCATGATCTGCCATCCTCGGACTCCCGAAGTGTTGGGATTACAGGCATGGCCTGTGCCTGCCTGCATATCTCTATTTCTAAGACCTCAACATCCCTGCTGCCTTTGGTCCACCATGGGACAGAGTCTTGACACGTTTGACCTTTTACCACAAGGAGGAGCTGTGACTCTGCACAGAGATTAAAAAGGGAACTCAGAGGAAGGACAGAGTATTCTCCGCATGGGGAGACAGTGAAATATCGGGTTTATTTACCTTGAGGGGAAAATATGGTCTGCAGAAGCTGTGTTAATGCTGAAATGTGAGAGGTTAAATACAGACTGTTCATTTGCCTTGCTGTGCAGGTGTTTCATTCTAGCAAAGGCCTGAACTGTCAGATTTGTTGCATGTGACCCTGCATGGGATGAGGAAGGGGAGCTGGGGAAAGGAGGCTCTGGCTTAGATGCTGGAGGGCCCCTTCCTGAGAGGAATAGAGGCTCAGACACTGGCCTGCAACCAGCTCAATCCTGCCATGAAATGGCTTCCTGGAGAACCTGGACAGTGAGCCTGACAAATCAGGGCTTCCTCGGGGATCTTGCAAAGTAATTTAGAAATCTGCTTATCAGACAAAGAATACCTGGAGCGCCATTCCCTGACTCTAAATGATGAAAGACTTAAGCTAGAAAAGGTATTTTTTCTTTTCCTCTTCTGGATGTTCCTCTGAAGATACAGACCAAAGAGTTTAAGGATAGGAAACCTGTCTCCTGGAGTCTGAAACAAATGGTTCTGTCAAAACGACATCGTCAGACTCCCTTCCAGCTACCTTCAACATCTATCCCTGTCTCCCAAGACCCATGGAAACTAGGCTGCATCCAGGTATCAAGATGATGCCAAACAGTTGAAATGGGAAAGAAGGTGGCATGGACAGACCTCCAGGATGGACATCTGAAACAGGCTCTTCCTTTTGTTTTCACTACAGGCTCCTGTTTCACCATGGACAAATTTTGTCATACTTCTTGGGGAAATCCAAAATACAGCAAAGATACATTTTATGGGCTCTAGCTATTCCATCAGGATGGAGCTGGTATCTCTATACTCTACCAGATATATTCTAGCATGCTGCCTGGAAGTGAAAGTCTAGCCCAGACAGTTTTAACAGGAAAACCATTAGCCATGCTGTGGAGTTAATTTTGCAGTTTATCACTTGGAATGGAACAAAGAATGTATTGGTAGGAAACTCATTTCTACATGCTAGTTCTAAATTTCTTAACTTTCTGTAGTAACAGAGCCATTTCAAATGTACTAAAAGAGACCTCTGACGGACTATGCAAAACACACACTTCTAAGCTCACTGTAAATATTTAAAGTGACTACCATAGGAGTTGGAAGTCGAGGTACCCCTGGGCTTTTCAAACTCCTACCCTCTAAAAGTCTAGAACTTCTTCTCAGTAACAAAGTAAGATGACATATAATCATTTCTCATTGTTAATAAACAAATCTCTGCCATCATGGCATTGCATTTTAATTTGTGTTAATTGTTGCTAACAAAGGACTACAGATTAAACATTTGTGATCCATATAATAATAGAAATAATAAATGCAAATATTTTAAGTGGACAAGCGATTTCAATAACTCAACAGGCAAATGCTTGTGAACTAAAGCTCTGAAAGGTGAAGGACTTCACCATGGCCTGTGACAGGATGTTTTATCTGGCTTTGAGTCTGACTTTCATTTGGAAAACTGACTGCTGGTTGACCTGCAGGTACGATCCCATGAGCTGAGATGCTTGTTGACTTTTGCCTTTTTTTGTCAGCTTGAAAGAATTTTTTTAAAATCCAGGTCATTGTCTCCAGTAACAATAACCAGCTGGGTTGAATGGAAGTGAAACCGCAGCGCCCAGCCGTGCAGAGCCGAAACCCGGTGATGAGCATCAGTGAAGAGAGAGACAGAATCAGATGACATGAAATGGCTTGTCAGATTCTGCTCAGAAAACTAAACATGACATGGTGGGCACAGAGATTGTCGTTCTATTCCACCAGAGGGAGACAGCATGGTTTTCCCGTGATTCTTGGGGAGCTGGAGGGAGACAGCTCTGCACCAGGTGAGTGGTTTCCTCATGAAATGCCAAAAGAAGAGGCGGAGATGGAGATTTTGACTCTAGAAGGGTGGAAGATTTTGCTTGTAAACATATCAACACACTTGCCTTTCCACCAGGCCACAAACTTTGGGGGGAACTGCCAAATATAAGACAGGAGTTTAACTATGGGGGCAGCCCAAAAATATGACCCATGTTCAAATATGCATCAGTGGTATCATTCAGTTGATGTGTTCTGGTTCTTCTGCAGCCTTCTGTCTCATTCCCTTTGCCTAGCTCTCCGCCTTTTTGTGGATTAAGTTATCTATGATAAAATTATTATATTTTCTTCCTTCTTTGTTATTCTTGTTGGAAGCCTGGCTCTTCCCAGGGATCAATGTCTCCTCTCTCCCTTCTGTAACTTTTACTTCTACTGCATAGTGGGCCCTGTCAAATATACAGTCATTTATTTTTGTTGCTTTATCCTTTGGATAATTCTTTTTGTTTTGTTGTGGTTGAGACTGAGTCTCAGCTCCTGTCGTCCAGACTGGAGTGCAGTGTCACAATCTTGGCTCACTGCAAGCTCTGCCTCCTGGATTCACGCCTTCTCCTGCCTCAGCCTCCTGAATAGCTGGGACTACAGGCTCCGGACACCAAGCCCGGCTAATTTTTATGTATTTTTAGTAGAGACGGGGTTTCCCCGTGTTAGCCAGGATGGTCTCGATCTCCTGACCTAGTGAACCGCCTGCCTCAGCCTCCCAAAGTGCTGGGATTACAGGCATGGGCCACTGCGTCTGGCCTAGACAATTCTTGAAGGGCAATAAAACACTTTTGCTTTTCTAAACGCTCTCCTGTAAGCACAAAACAAACAACACCCAGAACTAACATTGCCTCTATATGAGGCTAGTTTCTTTCTATCAGTTTCATTCCGTTACCTCTCCCAGATGCTGTCCATCTGATTTGGCAAAAACTCTTGCGTAAAATACTGAGATACATATTTATTTAAAGTCTACTCTCATGAAATGGTTACATCTTTATATAGTTATCATCATCACCGTTGTATACAGCCTCTTGTCATTTCACTATCTTCCCTCCACTTCCTTCCTCATTAGAAAAGCTTCCCATGTCAGCTGTGGCCCAATTTCAATGAGGTAAGTACTGAATAAGACCCACATCTAGCGGGGACCTGTATGTTCTAGAATTTTAGAACTAGACAGAATGTTGAAAATTATTTACTTCTGCCCACTGTTTCATAGATCAGGAAAAGGGATGCTTTTAAAAAAGTATTTAAATGCAAGCAGTAACTATATTGCTGGACTCCATGTAACATACATTCACATTCTTAGTCTACAGGTAAGTGTGAATGTGTTTTTTGCTCCTATTGGATTATAAGCATCATGAGGTAGAGAATATAGTTTACTCATGCTTGGCACACTAAGTAGACATTCAATGACTATAAACAAATAAAGCATGCTTGACATTCCAAGAAGGATGGTGGTCATTTTTCTTTTGTTTAGTTCAAGTTCTGTGTTTAGTAAATCACAAATGAACCATCAGGGTCTGTGTTTGCAGGATTCACCTGCCAGATGACAACACTACCAAAGTGTGTGTGTGTATGTGTGTGAAATGCCATTCTGGCTGTGCTGGTCCCTGGTTTTCCTCCTGGGTTCCTGCCTGGGGTCACTGACAGAGGCATTGAGATCTGAGAATGCTGGACCTTGCTGACCAGAGCAGGAGGCTGCGGCCTACCACACCCCCAAGGTTGGATGTTTGATGGCTGGCAGAGGAGGGGAGTACCATGGGCAAGAATAAAGGGGACGGGGTCCTCAACAGGGGATAATCCAGAAAACACAAAGGCATGTTGTGTTGTCACATTGGCGTCAGGCGGGTAGGGCCCAAGGATGCCGCTCAGCATCCTGGCTGAGCAGGACAGCCCCACAACCAACAATCACCTGATCCAGCACTTAGCACTCGGGCTGAAATTGAAACTCTGCTATAAGCAGGTTGCAAACTCTGTACCAACAATGAGGATTATCTGCAGACAACTCAAAACAGTACCATCACCTGCATTTTGTTTTCCGCAACAACCCTGCCATTTTACCTTTATTACCCATTCAGTCACAACACCACGGTAACTGCATATTGTCCAGCACCCTCCTGTTCCTCATAGATCTACCTTGGACAGATAAGGACATCAGAGGGGAGAGTAGAGGCTGCAGTTCCCAACAATGACCCTTCAACAGGGTTTTCTCTGAACTAGCATCACAGTCATGTGGGTTAGGTGGCTGTGGCTAATTTACTCGGGTGAAATCTCAGGCCAGTCTTTCCTGAAAAAGGGAACCACTGACCATTAATCAGAACTTCAGGTGAGCAAAAAGATTCAAAGAGAGCAAAACAATGTCCTGCATTATTGTGAAGAAGCAAAGGATCAGAGAGGAACACCAGCCTGACTCTGAGGGAAGGGCATGAAAGGGAGAGGAAGGGAGGAGATGGTCAATCCAGGGTAAGGAGGCGAGGAGGGGAGGGGGCTGCTGGCACAGGAATGACTGTCAGAACCACATCCTGGAGGCACAATTCCAACCCTCTCAACTTTTCCCAGAAATTTCAAAAAATCCTTTAAAGCAGCAAGTGCAGGGCGTGAAAAGCAGGAGCCATGCTAGAGGAGAACCTGGGAATGGGAAATGATTACAGGCTGTGACCTCACTTTGGCGCAGCCCCTCCCGGTGGCAGTGGAAAGCACAGCCTAGACTTCTCACCACTGCACACCAGAATCCTGCCCCGGGCCTTGCCTGGTCTGCCTGACTCTGTCATGGGCTGCAGGCTCCTCTGCTGTGTGGTCCTCTGCCTCCTCCAAGCAGGTGAGTCCTGGGACCAGGTGACATCATCCTGTTGGAGTCCCTAAGTCTTTTCACCATTACAACAACAGCAGGGTACCTCCTGGGATTTGCCTGAATTCTGCTTCTTTTCTTTGCAGGTTCCTTGGACACAGCTGTTTTCCAGACTCCAAAATACCTGGTCACACAGATGGGAAAGAAGGTGTCCCTTAAATGTGAACAAAATCTGAGCCACTTGATACTATGTATTGGTATAAAAGCAGGACTCAGAAATTGCTGAAGATAATGTTTTAGCTACAATAACAAGGAACTCACTATAAATGAAACAGTTTCAAATCGCTTCTCACCTGAGTCTCCAGACAAAGCTCATTTAATTCTTCACATCAAGTCCCTGGAGCTTGGTGACTCTGCTGTGTATTTCTGTGCCAGCAGCCAAGGCACAGCCCTGCAGAGTCACCGCATTCCTGTGCACAAACCTCCAGCTCAGCCCAGGAAGCTGTGGGCCAGGGTGTGCACCTGCACCCAAGGCTCCAGTCTCCACTCTCTGATGGCCTCGGATGGAGTTTCAGTCTGTAATAGAGATGGCTAGTGCAACCAGTGGAGAAGTTGTCTATTTTATGCACACAAAGTCTCACAGAATTGTTTATCAGCTGGAGCAGGGCTTCACAACCAAACCACGAGTATTAGGGCCCCACAGGCAGCAGACCTGTCAATGCACTGAAGATCTGAACTGGTGGAGGAAGCTGTTTCTTGTCTTTCTGTGCTGCACACATAGATCCATATTTTATATAACATTATGAAAAAATATGATTGCTAAAAATGGTTGATGAGCACAAGCATAAAGGAGGGGGAAGGAAATATTTCTAAGATCAAGAGACAATTCTGATGATCAGTAAGTACTTTATTTGACAGAAAAATATTTGAAGGCATGAGATTCCCATGGCAATAGAGTAAACTGGAAAGTGTTGAGGAGAAGCCAGTGGAGGCAGCCTTGTGCATTATGGCTCCTTCTCTTCCAAGAAGGGTGACCAGCAAGCGTCTCTCCAAATTCTGATGAAGGTCATCTTGAACTCTCCCCAAGAGTAGGCGACAGCTAGATGACTGGGGATATCGGGAGACCTGAAAGGACTTTGGACACAAATCTCTAGGCAGTGGTGAGCCATTGGTCCTACTCCAAGTGAAACAATATGATGAAACTCATATTTTGGTACAGGAACACTGGTAGTAGTATGGATCAGAAAGGAGATAGATTTTGGGTGGCATGAAGAATCAGGAGACTTCTAAATATCCTACAGGAAAGATTAGAAAGAGTTTATGTGAAGCATTGTGGACAACATGGGCTTGAGAGGCTCTGGTTATGTTATTTCTTGGAAATGAAGTATTGGGTTTATTCTGGGAGGGTTGAATCTATGACTAGCTAGGGTCTACTTCAACTTTGCCCTCCCTTTTAGGGAGCCCCAGCATGTGGTCAGCATTGCTAGTGCATGCCTTTCAGGGTCTTGAAGTGGGAATCACGGTGTTCCCACCACGACTCCACTCTCACTGGGTCTGAATGCCAATCCCTTCTGGCCCTGAGTATCTTCTGACATCCCTGCCCATGTCTTCAGCCTTCCAGAGTTTGTTCCTGCTGGGCCATTCAAGTGCCACCCTCTGCACGCACAACTTAGGGCGACCCAGAAAGAAATATAAAAAATAAAAAGATTTTCCCACACAGGTTCTCAGGGCTCCTTTTGGCCTGTATCCTAAATCCCGGCTGTCTTGAAGTCAGTTGCTTGTCCTCTTATCTTCAATCACATATACTACTTCTATTTTATATAAATATGTTTACTTGGCTTCTCTTCATATTTACTATTCCCTCTTCCTCTTCTTGCAATTCATACAGTCTGAGATCACTTTTCCTTCTTAGGTCCATCCCTAATTCAGATGACTTGATCTCTTTGGTCAATGCAACATTGACAAATGCTTATGTTAGCTATTGTCCTCAGGACAATTAAACCTTTCACTTTCACCATTATTCAAGTTTTCAGTTTAAATTCTATTGCTTTTTTAATGCCCTTGCAATTTGGTTTACTTATTGGGAGCCAAACAATACAATAAAATTTTATTTGTTCACATTTGTTCTGCTTCTTTGTAGGAAATCCCAAAGTGTTTTCTTGCTGAATTAGATACCAGGTGGAAACAATTTTAATGGTAATGATACTAGTGTTTAAAATAAGGTAATTTTAGTTTTTACGCAGTGAATAGAATATCTCAACTGTAGCAAGGTTGAATGTCGATCCTATAACCTGTTGAGAGAGAATATACAAAACCCTTAAAGTCTAATCTACATCCATTACATTTTTGTTTGTTTTTGGGCCACATTGAAAATCTGATGAAATTTATACATTAGAAGAATGCTACAATTTTCCTCCTGACCAAGCACTACCCCAGGTTAAAACAAATCTAAATTATAAACCCTTGACATAAATCATGGATAAGTGTCTTCCCTCGGCCCAGTGTAGATTTGCTATAACACAGATTTCTGACCCTAATCTCAGTCCTACAATTATAATTATCAACACAAAATGGTAATACTGATGTAATACAACAATAAATAGATGGTAAAAATCACTTGGTAACTAGATCATCTCATTTTGTGTTGTTGGCTGTTCATTGTATCTTCAAGGTTCCTAGAATGAAAAGTCAATATGGGCATAACAGTATATTTTAAAGAAAATTGATATTCTAATAACTAAATGGTCACAAAGCATAAATAACTTGTGCAGTGAAGTAGAAGACCCTGACAGTGTCAGCTGCTTTCTAGTTGGAAAGCTCTCTGAGACTGATGACCAATTTGGTTTCTAATATTTGAAAATGGAAGGTTTTGGAGATCATCTCATTTCGCTCTCTGATTTAATATGTGAAATATGGCATCACATATGTAGGTGATTGAACAATGACATACTGATTACATATCTCAAACTTTATGTAAGATACATTTTTATTCTTTAGTTGTTTTCTGAATATGTTGAATTGCCCTACTCAAGTAGAATTCTGGGGGTGAAAATGTTGGTGATTTTGTACTTGCTCTAGCTGTTACTCAAGGAGTATTTGTTGAAAAAGTCAGACTGCCCCTGTAAGCTCCAGAGGGCTGGGGTACTGTCTGTTCTGCTCATTACCAAGGATGCATAAGTAATTTCTTTTCTTTTCTTTCATTTCTTTTCACCTCAGTTCATTTCTTTCTTTTTCTTTTGAGGGTGGTGAGGGCAAAGGTCTTGCTCTGTCCTGAGTGCAGTGATGCAATCAAGACTCACTACAGCCTTGACTTCCATGGCTCAAGCGATCCTCCCACTTCAGCCTCTTGAGTAGCTGGGACTACAGACATGCACCATTACATCCGGCTAATTTTTGGTAATTTTTGTAGAGATAAGGTGTTGCGATGGTGCCCAGACTCACACATGAACAATTTCTGTTGAGTAAAAAGTTAGAATGTCTTAGGTGTGTGGATACCTGGTGTTCTGGTTGCTGACTCTCTGTGTTGTTGCCAACACCTCTTTCATATTCATTCTTCCTGGCCTTTCGAAACCCATCCCTGCTGCTCAGGGGATCTGGGATCTAGAACCATTCTGGATGCTGACACTGGGTTGGTGAGTGGTCAAATGCTGCTTTGGCCACAGGGAGGAGCTGTGCTCCAGTGAAACATCTGAGGCAGGATAGAGAGTGGGGAGAGATGGGCCAGGAGGGATCTTGCCCACGAGGGAGCCATCCTTACCTCGAATGAGAGCATGGCCGTACTCAGGTTAAGCACACTAACATCAACCTCAAGCTGATTTCCCCGCTCCTTACTCCACACACCTGCTAGTTGTTCTTTTTCAGCATCCCGTGTATGTTAGCTCCTAAGCCCAGCCAAGCCCCATGCCCACTTCGGGGACAGAGGTGGCTCATCCCTTTTGTGCTCCCTCAGCTCCCACCAGTGTCTGGTTGATGGTGGGCATCACAGTCACGCCCTAGAATGCTGGGCGCTGGTCCACACGTGGTCAGCTGCAGCCATCCTCCCTCCCACAGAGCCAGGCAAAAAGGGCTCCACACACGTGCTTAGACATTGAGGAAGGGACATTTTGAATGGTTCTGTCTTGTGTGATCCCGCAGGACAGAAGGAGATTCCTCGAATGGGGTAGTGCTGTCCTTGAGAGGATCCTGAAAGACAAGCGGACAGAGATAGAGGGAGGATCCACATAATGAGGAAGCAGCTGAGAGCAAAGGAGCCCCTGCCAGAGAATACCCTTGAGGATTAAAAACCTGGCTCTGCCCATTCTGCCCAGCCCATTCATCCCAGCCCAGACTATTCAAATCTACCTTCTATCAAGACCTAGAAAGCACATAAAACGGCCAGGAATAAGTATCCCTGGGTCTGGGAAGCTGTCAGGAGCAGTGACATCACAAGAAAACCACCAACCAGGGCCAAGGAGACCAGAGCCCAGCGCCTCACCCAGAGGACCCCAGTCGAAGCCTCATCTCAGACCCGAGGCTAGCATGGGCTGCAGGCTGCTCTGCTGTGCGGTTCTCTGTCTCCTGGGAAACAGGTGATTTGGCTTCAAATCGGCTGTCCTTGAACTCCAAGCCTTTTCCTTGTGGCTGCAGCAACAACCCTCCTCCTGGGCTCTGCCTGAATTTTGTCCCTTTCCTCCTACAGTCCCCACAGACACTGGAGTTACCCAGACACCAAAACACCTGGTCATGGGAATGACAAATAAGAAGTCTTTGAAATGTGAACAACATCTACAGGGCACAATGCTATGTACTGGTACAAGCAGAAAGCTAAGAAGCCACCGGAGCTCATGTTTGTCTACCAGTATGAGAAACTCTCTATAAATGAAGTGTGTGCCCAGTCGCGCTTCTCACCTGGATGCTCCAAGGAGCTCTCTCTTATACCTTCACCTACGCGCCCTGCAGCCAGAGGCTCGGCCCTGTGTCTCTGCGCCAGCATCTCGAGACCTAGCCTTGCAGAGTGCGCCGCGTTCTGTGCAGAAACCTTCGGGGCCTGCGAGGAAGCTGTGGGGGCCACGGAGAGGCTGGGGTGAGCATTTCCTGCAGGCGACAGAAGCTTCAGAACATCACAGCACCTGCTAATTCATCCATGTGGCAACTTTACATCCCTATGTTCATGTTTAGAGTGTGGGTTTTCTTTTGCCTGAGTGTGACTGCCCTGTCAACTGCTTTGAAAAAAGGATAAACATATTCAGATCTACTTTTAAAAATGCTTTTAAAATCATGAAATAAGCCGGGCATGGTGGCTCACGCCTGTGATCCCAGCACTTTGGGATGCCGAGACGGGTTGATCATGAGGTCAGGAGTTCAAAACCAGCCTAACTAATGTGTGAAATCCCTTCTCTACAAAAATACAAAAATTAGCCAGGCTTGGTGGATGTTAACATAACCTTAGTCCCAGCTCTGTAGTCCCAGCTACTCCAGGAATCTGAGGCAGGAGAATCGCTTGAGCTAGGATGTGGAGGTTGCAGTGAGCCGAGATTGCGCCACTGAACTCCAGCCTGGACAACAGAGCGAGATTCCATCTTTAAAAAAGAAAAGAAAAGAAAAAGAAGGAAAAAA